AGAGAGAGTCAAGAAGTACGGAGACGAGGGAGGCCGCAGGTGAATGGCTCGGACGGATCCTCGCCTTGGCGTTCTACCCCGCACCCCTAGTCCTCACAAAAATGACCAGGATTTTGACCGCCAAATCAATGGGGTGATGGCAGTGGTCCGGTTGTGCGACGGCTGCCGAAAACAGGATCCGCCAGCGCATCCCATAAATGTTGGCATTTGTTATTGCGCACAGATAACGCCTGCCAGAGTCCGATGTGGCCCCCGTGTTGGTCCAGCGCATCTAACACGTGGCCTGTTTGGGGGCACACACGCACATATATATATATATGGGTGAAGATTCGAGGTCCAGATATTGTATCGCGTTCGCCATCCCCCGAAGAAGACGAAGAATAAGTTAGGGCGCATTCATGGACCGAGTTATATTTGTACTGACGTTTCGGGAGCCCTCTCGTCTCCATCATCAGAGTAATGTGTTGACAGTTCCTGCTGGTCTTGATTGCTTCAGCCTTGATACCTGCCTGGTATTATATCCGTGCACGAGGCACGAACTCTGACCTGCCCGTTCGCCGCCGATTAGAGTTGACCTCTCCACGATTGACCGCCGGTGGGCTCCTGCCACTAATGCCCCCTTTGCGGCCGTCGTAAGTGTTGGCGAGCCAGCATGTTTGTCGGCCTCGCCCTCGTCACTCAGCGGACTGATCAGTTGTTGAGGCTCATGTGAGTTGATCTCAGCCTCGTGGGCGTCGCGGTGAGGTGGCGTCCCATGCTGGTCACATGACCCCCGGCCGGCTTCTCTCCTACTTTCTGCTGACATCGGCTGTCGGCCACGCGTCACTTTGCTCGACTGTCCTGATGGCCTTGTCCGCACTGACTCGAGCCTTGTGCGTAGCGCCTGGTAGGCGGGATGCAGATCTCTGGCTCTGTTGAGTGTGCCAGTCGAGGACCAACTTTCGAGCATCAGTCTGGCCATCTTATCATTGGCTCGGCCGATTACCCTTGCCTTTTCAAAGGCGAAATTGTGGTTCTGCTGGTTGACGTGGCCATAAACCATAGACAGATTGTCCTTGCGGTTGATTGCAAGTTGGTGCTCATGCAATCTTGTGCCAAGACGTTTGCCCGTTTCACCAACATACCTTGCATCACAGTTTTGGCACGGTATGCTGTAGACCACCGCTGATTGTTCTGTCACCGGTAGCGGGTCTTTGGGCCTCATTATTTGATGTCTGATTGTTGACTCTGGCTTCTGAGCCTCCGATCCTGAAAGGCTTCAGGATTCTTGCCGTCGCCTCTGACACGTTTTTCACATAAGGGATTGCGAGCCAAAGTTTCGGGTTTTCTCCGTCCGATTAAGTACTTGCACGTCCTATTTAAAGCCAACGGTTATCCCAAGTCCTTCATACGCAAGTGTCTTAAGAAGCCCCACCCTGGCTCGCCAACACTTACGACGGCCGCAAAGGGGGCATTAGTGGCAGGAGCCCACCGGCGGTCTATCGTGGAGAGGTCAACTCTAATCGGCGGCGAACGGGCAGGTCAGAGTTCGTGCCTCGTGCACGGATATAATACCAGGCAGGTATCAAGGCTGAAGCAATCAAGACCAGCAGGAACTGTCAACACATTACTCTGATGATGGAGACGAGAGGGCTCCCGAAACGTCAGTACAAATATAACTCGGTCCATGAATGCGCCCTAACTTATTCTTCGTCTTCTTCGGGGGATGATAAACGAGATATATATATATATATATATATATATATATATATGTATAGGCAGGATGATATTACCGACAAAGACAAGGGAGACTGGAATGACCATTTCTGGCTTATTAGCCGTCGTCAGCCAGCCATACCCAAGCCCGAAGTGTGGAACACCCGAACCTCGAACTCGCGACCTGTTGGTTTAGAAGTCCACGCCTCTACCCACCGGGCCACGGGCCCGTTGCCCTGTCGGTTTTCGATCGGGAATATATCAGGCATAAATTTATCTAGTCTTCTTTTGAAGGTCTCAAGGTTTTCCGCTAAGACAACGGAGTTCGGCAATTTGTTCCATCCTTCAACCAGTTGGTGGGTGAAGAATTTGGCGCGCAATTCAAGTTTGGCATATTTTGTCTTCAATTTCATTGGTGCCTTTGAATATTTGTCGTCGCGCCACTTCGAATAAATCGTCAAACTGAAGAGCACAGTCTAGCCTTCGGACGATCCTAAAGGTCATGACCATATCCCTTCCGTATTGTCTATAAGAGAGAGGAAGTATTTTTAGCTTTTTCAGCCGGCTCTCATAAGATAAGCTATTTAATCCGCCGACTAGCTTGGTCGCTCTTCGTTGTGAGTTCTCCAGTAGGGTGTAATCTTGTTTCGTCCAAGGACACCATGCCTGAACGGAATATTCCAACATTGGTCGAACGTATGCGTCAAATACTCGGCCGAAAAGTTCTTCGTCAAAATTGAGGAAGGGTCTTGTAATCGCGTCTAGGATACCCATAGCTTTCTTCGATACCTTGGCGCAGTGAGACGATGGTTTGAGAGTTGACGTTATCCACACACCGAGGTCTCTTAACTCGTTAACTGATTTGAGTTGGTGATCTCCTATAAAGTAGTGAGATTCAAATCTCAGCCGCCTCCTGTTGCTCGATCGTAATCGGATAAGTTGGCATTTGCTACGATTGAGGCTAAGACACCACTCATCACACCATCTTTGCAAGCGATTCAGTGTCTTTTAACTGTACAGAGTCTTTCGGCTTCTTTATTGATTTCCACAATTCATGATCGTCGGTCACCATTACGCGCTCGCCTTTCAGACAGTCCAGGTAGTCGTTCACATATATTAAGAACAGAATTGGACCCAGAACGCTCTCCTGC